GTCTTTAGGGCAGTGTTTATTGAGATCAGTGTAATCAACGCACATTCTCCATTCTTTATTCTTCTTTTGAACAAGGACTGGGTTTGCCAGCCACTCAGGATGATACACTTTTTTAATAAATCCGACTGCTAGGAGCCATTTTATTTCTACCCTAATAGCCTCCTTTTTGTCTGGCATGAATCGTCGGAGCTTCTACTTGATCGGCTTGGCAGTCGGCGAGACATTCAAGGAGTGCTCGATCTTCTCTCGTGGTACCCCCAACATGTCTGTAGGTTTCCAAGCAAACACGTCGGCGTTGGCACGTAGGAAGGAGATGAGCGTGCTTTCCTATTTAAGGTCAAGATGAGCCCCAATCTTGGCGATCTTAGTGGGGTCGTCGAGGCCGAGGCCGACCTCCTTCGTTTCCTTAGACTTGGCGAAGGCACATGGACGCTCTAGCACTAGGATCTCTAGGTCATCGACGGGCACCGTCTTGGTGTCGATGACCCTGTCGGACATCTGGATGGAGAGGTCGGTGGCTTCGGCGAGGGAGAGACTCTCTGTTTCGCAAGCGTAGGCGATGGAGAGGTTGGCCCGTAGGGCTAGAACTCCTGCAGGCGAAGGCATCTTCAATACCAGATATGCATAGTGCAGTATGGCCATGAACTTGGCCAGAGCTGGCCGACCAAGTATGGCGTGGTAGGCGGTGTTGAAGTCAGTGACGTAGAAGTTGATGTGCTCGACACGGAAGTTGCTAGCCGTGCTGAATTGTACCGGGAGGGTGATCTCTCCAACCGGTCAGGATGCCCTGCCAGGTACCACCCCCAGAAGGAGGAGTCAGAGGGAGTGAGGTCTTCTACTCCAAGGCCCAACTCCTTTAGGGCTCCGACGAAGAGCAGGTTCAGGGCGCTTCCGCCGTCGATGAGTACTTTCCTAAAGAGTACTTTCTTGACGGTTGTATCGAGAACGAGGGGGAAACGCCCTATGTAAGGGATGTCCACCCACTGGTCGGCCCTGCTGAAGGTGATGGGGACCTCAGACCAGGGGCGATAGCTAGGGTCGACAATAGTGTCTTCTGTGTTGACGGCGAGCACTCGGCGGGCGGTGAGTTTTCGATCTCTTCTGTTCTTGACGGCGGCGAGGCCCCCGAAGATAGTGGCGACCACTTTGTCATGATCCTGGAAGGCATTATTGTTGTCCCCAGGTGGTCGGCGACCTCTAGCTCCATCATCGTTGTCGTTGTCCTTCTTTTTGGCCTAGAACTCCTTAGCCAAGCCAAGGCAGTCCTTCATCTTGTGCTTGCTGTTCTTGTGGAGGGGGCACGGGCCTTCGAGGATTTTCTTGTACTGCTCGTCGTAGTTACGTTTGGCGCGAGGTTCATCAACGGTGGCGACGATGTTGTCTGGTCGGCGACGGCGATACTGACCGGCTTTAGACCCTTCCGACCGATCGCTGCCACTGTCCTGATGGTGGCCACGGTCGTCGTAGCGGCGATCACTATGGCGTCGTTCGTCGGGGCGCTCATCGCTGTGGCGAGTTGGACGATGAGTGCCCACATCCTCGTTGAAGCGAACTTCGGCCTCTTCAGCGTCAGCGTATTGATTGGCGATCCTGATCATCTCGCCAATCCCCTTTGGTGGCTTACAATTGAATTTGGAGCAGAGCTCGAGGTGATGGAGTCCTCTGACAAATGCGGTGATTACTTCTTCTTCCGTGACGTTGGGAATAGAATTCCTCATCTCAGAAAATCATCTGATATAACTACGGAGGAGCTCGGACGGTTTTTGGTAAATGCGATTCAGATCGTGCTTGGTGCCCGTCCGAGTACACGTAGCCATATAATTGTCGGTGAAGACCTTCTTCAACTGTTCCCAAGATTCGATGGAATTTGGGACGAGGCTCGTGAGCCAGTTCATTGCGGTCGGCGTGAGCATAGCGAGAAGATAGTTCGCCATGACACTAGTATCTCCCTCGGCGGCACGGACAGCGGTGGCATACGCTTGTAGCCACTGTGTGGGGTTCATCCGCCCTTCGTAGGGCTCGACCCCGGTGATTTTGAAACCACGGGGCCACAAGAGTGTTCAGAGTGCTCTCGTGAATGCTCGGGGCCCTTCGGGATCGTCACCGTCGGGATTGGTAGCATTTGTCGATGTTAAGTGGCTGGAGGGCTACATCCAGATTACCGAATTCTTGCTCGTATTCTTGATGCCGGCGTACTTCCTCCTCATGCCGAGAGAAACGGCGCCCATCGATATGACGTCGTGCATCCTGGAGGTTGTTGATGTGTGCTCGGACATCTTGAACGACTTCTTGGTCGTGTTGGCGAGGGTTGTTGATATGGTTCCCCCTAGCTCCCCCCTAGAGGGGTTGTCTATCATCACGATGTTAGTGGGCGAAATAGCTTCTGTTGGGGCGGCGATTGGACCTTGACACGACGGATCGGCGATTCGAGCTTGTCGAGTAGGAAGGTTCCTGATCCTAGTAGATCTCGTTGACCTGGCAGTGCACAGCTTTAAGCATTGCGGCGACCTTGGCGACCTCTGGTGTTTGTTCGAGCCGAGCGAGCTCGTTAGCGGCCACGGCCAAGTTGGCACTTGGGGTCTTGTAGACATCGTGGCCATCGACACTGACGAATTTGTCGTTGAGGTTGTGGCGGAGTGGGAGTGGCCTCCCTTGCGAGTCGAGTTGTTCTCCGTTGCGAGCAGCCTCGGCTAGCACAATGGCGGCCTCATTCGCTCGGCGCTGCGCACGGTTAGCGTTCCTGTTGATACGAGCCGCGCGATCCTCATCGATTTCTCCATCCCACGGAGGGCTATCGATGTTTACATTAAAAATCCCACCTCGACGGAAGGGTGGAAAAGGAGGTTGGACGGCGGCGGTTTCGGCGACAATCTCCATAGAGCCCTGGGGCTCAGAGTCTAGATTTTCCTCCATAATGGTGTGGAGGGATTCTTCGGGACGTTGGCCGATTTGCAGCATATTGACAGTCGGCGAGAGCTGGTCGGCGATCGGGTCGGCGAGAGGGTAGATGTCTCCAATCTAATTGGCGAATTTGTCCCTTAGGGCATCCTGATGGATGGTGGCCATATCCCCTGGAGTTTCCCGATCGGCTTCCGATAGATTAGAACCGGGAGGTGGTCGGCGCCGAACCAGAGTGGTCAGAGCCGATTCCATGAGGGAGAGGCAGTCGGCGAGCTTCTAGCCGACCGGATCGATGGATGCGATCAGATCGTCGTTGCCGACCTGCTTCCTCGAGTAGCGGGGCAGCAGGCGGCGAGTTGTTGGTGAAGACAACCTCGGAGGCGGTTCTAAGATCGGATCTGCTGTTGCAGGTGTTGGTGTGGTTGGCGCAGAATCGATCTGCACCGGCTTGATGATCTCTCCGTCTCTGTCAGCATTGATGACCCAGGAGATCGATTCGACCGTAAAAATCTGGCCGGGCTTTGGAGAGGACGAAGAGCCTGAAAAGTGTACCATCTTGTTCGTCATGGAAACAACACACACCCCTACCTGACGCGCCAAATGTCGACAGAATATCATCGGCAGTCCTCCAAGGGGTATCCCACGAAGGTAGATTGATCGGCAGAGATGCGCGTAATCAAGAACAAGAAGGCAACAGAGACACAAGAGTTAGACATGTTCGGGCTGTCTGCACGACGTAATACCCTACTCCTGTGGTCTATTGGTTTGTATTGGTTATCATATGATATTACGTATGTTTTGAGGGGGTCCCCTACCCGCCTTATATAGCCGGGGGTAGGGTTACAAGTCGATTAGATCTAGGAGATAACCGCTAAGTAATAACAGATTACAGGAATCACGTGATCGAGCATATCCTAACATATCTCGTAGCATCTTCAGGATATTGTCCTTGATGTCTTGCGGTACACGCCGAACAACACTGTGCACCGTAGGTCTTCGTCTTGTGGGCTGGACCGCCCCTGGCAGCGCAGCCCATATAATGTGCCGTGGGTATCCGAGGTCGTACCCCCAGACAGTACAAGACTATGGCTCATCATTTCTAGTTTGGCTGATGCATTGCTCTGAAACCTTGCAGTTATATGCGGTACTACTATTTACGTGCCCTGTAAAATGCTTGGAACTGTTAGAGTTTTAACGTGTCCTGACTCCTGAACCATGTATATTGCAAGTGAAGAGGAGGGGTAATGGCGCTGAAGAATGCGTAGCAGTTCATTCTTCATTGGCAGGACTCACTTTCATATTCTGTCGCAGTTGACCTGATCTTTGTGAAGAAGTATCTAAATTCTCGAATGCTTCATCTCGTGATTCAAGGCTACTCGTGATCGCCCTCCACAGCTCCTGTTAGAGACTTAGAGTGACAATGTGAAGCCTTGTTGCTACCTTCTGTTCCTATCAATATTTGTTCTGACCTGTGGATGCCCACATTTTACAGGAGCAAAAGGGCAAAAGGCCATGACACAATCTAGGTGTCATCTGTCACTTGTCACTTGTCACCTGTCACGAGCCGGGGATGCACTTGTAGCCAGGAATACACCACCATAATCTTCCGATAATAGATAATAGAGGATATAATGCCGCGCTTGCAAGGCCGCCGTTGCCTGACAGGCGCCATCCACATATGCTGGGGCATCTATGTATACAGTGGAAACTGGAAACCACATTTTTGTGCCCATGCACGAGCTTTTTGTACAGCGAAAATGATACCGCTTACCCTTGTGCAGTTTTACCACAGCGACATCGTACTTACAGAGCTACCAGCTTTGTTTTGCACTGAAGTTAAGTCCAAAATTCACATAAAAAGTTCCCTTGCTTGCACTAGGATTTAGGTACAATGCAGATTTACAGCCCACAACAGCCATACTAGTAACATAGCATAACGCTTATTTATGTCCAAGTGAGATTGCTACCTATATTTACTCACAACTCAAGCCATTCAATCCGTGACCGCGAGTCATTTTTATGTTCATCAAGTGAAATAGCCGTCAAGAAGATTTCAAGACGAAAGAAGCCTGCCACATGAGCATGGGCAACTTCACCAATCACCATTCGATGGAGCGCCTCCGCCTCCGATCCTTGGGCGGCTCCGTGCCCACGACATCAAGCCGCAGGAACGGGTTCAGCCGCCCGAGCTTCTTGGACACGTTGTTCATGAACCCTCCGCTGCCGCCTGCGGCCTTCTTCGGCGGCGGGCGGCGCCCCGACGGTGGAGCGCCGCTGGGCTGCGGGAGCGCCGCGGGCGGGTCCCTCAGGTGCATCTTCAGCCGCAGCAGCTCCATCTTGAGCTCCTCGTTCTCCCGCTGTAGCCCCGACACCTCGTCCGGTACGCTCCGGGCGTGCCGGCCCAGGAGGCTCGGCGTCGGCGCCGGCCTGTATGTCGGCGACGGGGCCAGGGACTCGCCGCCGTAGAACGACGACACGCCGCTCGGCGGCGGCGCGTGCTTAGGGGCCTCGCGCAGGCGCCGCTGCTCGTGGTAGAGAACCTGCACCACCGTCTGCACTGGCAGCCGATCGTTCTGCGCCGCGTGCGCGCACGCCTCGCGCGACAGCTTCTGGCAGTCCATCACCCGGCACACCTTCTTCCGCTCGGCCTCGCTCAGATGCGGATGCGCCTGCATGCAGGAATCCATAGTCCACAGTGAACGATCATCTAGTTGAGGAAAAACCCATAACCAATATGGCAGTAAAAAAACAATTAAGATCTCTGTGTTTAATTTCTCACCTTCAAGTAGATGTCGATGGCACGGTACATGCCGTCCTCGTTAAACCTGGCGCGTTCCGGGATCATCTCGGCGAGGTCGGTGAACTTGTCAATGGGCAAGTTCACGTCCGACGCGATCTCGGCCAGGTACGACTCCATGAGCTTGCCGACCATTCCGACGTCGTTGGGCGGCGACGCCGTCGAGATGAAGTCGTCGTCGGTGTTGTAGTCCAGCAGGGCCGCCTCGGCCTCGTGCTCCAGGTACCCGACCAGGATCCTCTGGACCGCGTCGACGTCGAACGTGGTGCCGGCCTCGGGCGAGGTGGACGGGATCAGGAGGTCGTCCAGCACGGCCTGCCCCCAGCTGCGCGGCCATCCGCTTCTCGAGTCGAGCCGGCACGCCAGGGTCGTGTCCAGGTACAGCGCTGACCGAAGCAGCATCGAGAGGAAGCTCACGGACATGGAGTTCTTCTCCTTGGGCAGCAGAGTCACGATGGTCTCAAGCACCACACGCTTCTCGTGTTCCTGCTTCGGGTCCATCTTTTTCTTCTCCCTTCCGTGTGTGTCCTGCAACACACAAGCTCAGAAATTTGTCAGGTGGTGATCATGTACCAAATCTTCCTGTACTTGTAGATATATTGCGCAGGAGTTGAGCTCACCAGTCTTCGCAGCGACTTCTGAGCATAGAGCATGATGAGCGTGCCCAGAGCAATGCCCTTGAACCCCCTCGCCTTCATGGCAATGAGGACTCTCTGGAACGTGTCAATCCGCAGCGACGTCAGCTCGTCAGCCAACCAGTCATCGACGGCCTTGGACGACGACACGGCCATGCCGTTACCGTTGGTGGTGTTGCCCATGGACATGTTGAACTGGCTGTCGCTGCAGGTGATGTACGCGATGGCGTCGACGCACCTGCCGACGAGGTCCACATCCTCGGACACCGGGAGGAGATCCTCCGACCTCCGGAGCACGGTGACCGCGCCCGCGAGGCTCATCAGCGCCACGCCCTCCAGGTAGGCCTCCGTCCTGGCGGCCAGGTTCCCGCCCATGCTGTTGTCGGTCATCTCCAAGTGCTCGGCGGCGCACCGCAGCATGGCGACGTTGCCCTCCGTGATCTCGAAGTTCTCGCCGTAGCAGAACTTGGTGACGAGCTCGAACGCCGCGGCGCCGCCCGGCATGCCCGTAAGGTCGATGTGGGTGACCCTGGAGCCATTGATCCCCGACACCTGCTTCCTTATGTAGCCGCACCTCGATGCCAACGGGAGCTGCGGCAGCGTTGGAACCGCTAGTCAGAACTCAGAACCCAAGCTTTCTATACGATCGACGATCCCAAGAACACGCATGGAAAGCTATGATATGGAAGCGTTGTGATTCATATGTAGGCCATGTTTAGTTGGCCACCGATTTGGCGCCGCCGGAATTCAGTGACACTGTAGCGACACTGTAGCATTTTGTTTGTATTTGATAATAATTGTCCAATCGTTGATTAATTAGGCTCAAAACGTTTGTCTTGCAAAGTACAACCAAACTGTACAATTAGTTTTTGATTTCGTCAACATTTAGTACTCCATGCATGTACCGCAAGTTTGATGTGATAGGAAATCTTCTTCTTACATAGTGTCAAATTCTGAAAAATGGAGGAACTAAACATGGCCGTACTAGGAGTATTATTTACCCTGTGTAAGTTGAAGGTCGCCTCCCCAACCTGGATGGTTATATCGCTTGGGAATTCTTGTGACATTATCCTGCAACAAGCAAAGAGAAACAAGAGCTTCAAACTCGGCAAAACTTTCCTTTTGATAAACTCCATTTGCAGGGTTTGGCTTCGCGAACGATTCAGTGAGTACGATGTGAGATCTGAAAGCACAGTCACGTGTTGCTAGCTTGATGGCAGTTGCTGTTTGTTTTCAAGTGTGTCTAGTCAACAACCGGTTGTTTTAGCCCCTCGCATTAACCAAATTTTCAGTTCAAATTCGATCCGAACAAGCTGTCAGCGATGGTTAGGGAGTGTTGATACCAACAATCGAACACGAACTCGTCGAATCAAATGCGAAACAGCAACAACAACATGCCAATGGAAAGTAGATAAGCAGCAGGGGAGGAGGAGAAGGAACGTATACCAGTCACTGATTCTCCTCATCGCCGGCGTGTCGAGCCGGCTCTCCTCCATCTGGCGGCCCTCACAATAGTCACCGAGCAGCCTGTTCACCTCTCCCGCTCCACCCCTTCCCTCTGTGTCATCCCGAGCGACGTCGACGTCAGAGGAGATCGCGGCAGTGCGGGAGAGCGAGTGACGCAGGTGCGCCGGCTTCTGGATCGCGCTCGAGCCGCGGCTGCCTTCCGCCCTTCCACAGTGGCCTCGGCGGCCGGAAGCCACACAATGGCGCCATCGCACGACTGCCGTCGATGATGGATAAAATGAAGCGGATAGACCGATAGAGGAGCCCGACCAATCCGGGGGATTGTTCCTTTGGAGCGTAGTAGCTGAAAATCCCTTACCTTTTCTGCCGTCGCTTTCCGGAGACTTGTCTTGCGCTGCATGGGGCCACTGAGGCACTGAGCCGTGCGTCGCTTCGCTTCGTACTGTACTACGCTGTATGCATGCCTGACAGGCGGTCGGACTAAATAGCGAACGTTCGTTAGAATTAAATTTGGCGAACCAATTTCCAACATGCATTTGTTTCCTCTTTTAAGAAAAAATAGTTTTACATTTTTTCTGTTTTGGATGGCGGGGGGCGTGCTTAGTCATTCTCTTTTGGCGTCTCGGCTGCGCGCTCACCCTCTGCATACTTATGTCAGCGCTGACACAGCAAAAAAAAGTAAAATATTTTATTTAAAATTGCTATAACTTCTAAACTGTGGATCCGTTTTTAATTCCGTCTGCACCAGTGTGTTCTACTCGACGAGACGAACAAAACTTGACGCCGCTTACATATGTTTCAAAGAATTTCATAACTTAAACGAATAACTTTTACATGTAACTTTATATGATAAGTTATGCACATGACTTATACATATAACTTACTACGTGATAAAATTAGATGGCCTACATGTAAAAAGTTAGATTTATAAGATATAGATGAACAAACATGTATGTACAAGTCAACATTGATAACTTATATTATAATAACTTATTTGTAAAATTTATAAGTTAGATGAACAAACTTGTATGTACAACTCAACATTGATAACTTATATTATAATAACTTGTTTGTATAACTTAGATATATAACTTGATGAAGAACTTAGATGTGCAAAATTAATCTCATAATATATTAGCAGAAATATAAAAAGCATGGTTGAGAAATTTATATTATATGTGTACAACTAGTATATGAATCATATACTAGCATGTAAAATACATAAGTTAATGTATAAAAATTTAAAAGGCAAAGAAAAAAAGTAGAAATTTTAAAAAAAACTTCGAAACACAACTTATATACAAAAGTTATAAGTTATATCGTATAAGTTAATATACATAAATTGGTTCTAGAAAATAAAAATCTTCAAAACCTATGTAAGTGGGGTCTAGTTTTGTTCGCCTCATCACGTAGAACACATCGGTATAGACGGAATTGAAAATAGATACACCATTCAGAAGTTATAGCATTTTAATATAAATGCTTTGCTATTTTTTTTTCTAGGTCAACAGTGACGTCACAGCTAGGAAATGGGCGGGTGAGGGGAGCCAACGACACGGACGACTGCGCGATCGTTCACGCGATTCGAAACGGGCGATCGACCGTCCAATTGGAATTGGGCCTGACAGGCTGACACGGTCGATCAGCTGGCAAGGCAACCTCGGTTTGGACTTTGGATAGCTTTCCCTGCAGGGCAGGGATGATGTCGGGTCACGGCCCGTTCAGTACGGGCCGAAGGGCCAGCGAAACAGATGGGCCCAGATCATGCGGAATGCCTGTCTTGCCGGTTGCCGTCCCCCTGAAGCGTGAACGGCCGGCCATGACCGGTCGACGACGAAACTCCCAATCACCTGAAATTTCCAATCCAGCGCGGGCACCCGTCGCCATCACCGTCTAGTCCACCGGTCTTGGCCTCCGTCGTCCGTCCCACGCCAGACGCCACGCCACGCCACATCACGGTGCCTCCTCGCAGCTTCCTCCACTCGTCTCCTCCTCCCCCTCTCACCCCAAAACAAGCAAGGGAGCAGATGGGGGCAGCGGGCAGGCGGCCGCTGCATTAAAAAAAGGGCACTGAAACTTAATCCAATCCACCGAACCCAAATCTCTGTCTCGCGCTGGCGCAGGTCACACCGCCACGCGCGCCTCATCCGGTACCGCCATGACGAGCGCCTCCGAGCTCTTCACCGCGCGCCGCGCCGCCCGTGGGGGCCGCCTCTCCGATCCCGACCCGGACCCGGATCCGCACGCCGACGCGCTCCGGGACCAGCATGGACTCGGCGGCCGGCGCCGGCGCCGCGGGTGCCGCCCGCGACGCCAGCTCGACGCCGCCGGGGACGTACGCCAGCACCTGCACACCGGGGCCCCGCCACCGCGTCGCCGCGGGTCGTACACCGTGAGAATCCCTCGCCCCAATCTTCCTCCCGCTTGATTATTGTCTTATCAGTGTTGTGGCTGGATCGGAGTATCTCCGGCGTTGGCTTATACAATTCGTGGTCACTATTAGGTTTTGGCCCGCGCGAAATTCAATGATGACTTTGAAATCCCGATTTTATTATCATGATTACATAGCTCGGGAAATGGATACCAATAGGGATTTACGCAATTGCACTTGTTACTGGGGTTGCACTTTTTTTTTTGTTTTTTTGTCATACCGGGGTTAAACTTCAATGTACTAATTGGTGAAATATATCGGATTGTAATCCTATCTGAGATTCTGAACCAAGCTTCATAATCCCACTGGCATTGCCATGTTGCACAAAGAGTTGAAATGAGCCTTGTTCATTGTAGTAGCTGTGGTTGGGCTTGTAGTCTTGACCGCCTTGTGCGATTGTAGCCCTACCATCAGTCAAAGGTTTCCTAGATGGCGCAGGTTCGTTGCTAGCTGTGGTTATATTTTTATGAGATATAGTTATTTGCAGTTTTCTTAATTACCTCAGCAATTTTATTTTTGCAAGGCTTGATCTATGAAATAGGCATCTTTTGTTACAACCTTTTTTCATACAAATGGGAAATGTAACAATTGCCTCGCCTAGTCATGGACTAGCTGGAATCTACACTTTAGAACTTTTTTTTTCTGCTATGCTGTGTAATTGTGTGCATATCATCGAGCGCAGTAGCTTTGCTCTTATATCCTTTGATGAATTCCACTTGAAATAATTGATTCATCAGCCATGTAATCTGGGGTGTTGGCTATATGTAGTTGTAACTTAAAATCATGACCAAGCCGATGCACCTATTTGCCCTTTTGTTATATATACCAAACCAGCTTCATTTCAGGAATCATGCCTTGGGCTACCATTTTCATCCTGATTGTTTGTGATAGGTCATCAAATGATAATATCTCTCTGTTTTGCTGTCTGCAGGATCAGATCTTATCGTACATAGACAATAACAACATTGGGGATTCTGCAGCTCGGAGGAACAGACTTGATAGGCTGATGTTCAGGACAAATGAGCGGCTTCCTGGTGCTGTACTGCAAGCACAAGCACGTGTCCTAGAGAGACTCAGAGGCATTTCTCTAGGTTCATCTGCCTCTAGGCAATCCATCTCATTGGATGAATTTTCTGCTAGCGATGTGTTTAGAATCATCGACTTCAGAAATAGGGAAACCCGGGCACGAGGCAAATCGGCCCCACTCATCATCGTTCCACCCGAGCAGTGAATCAGATGAAGAAAGACCAACCATCAGTTCCAGTAACTCCAACCGGTCAGCTGGACTTAGCAAGGCGGCTTTCCTGCGTCTACAGATTGAGATTTTTGAGGCTAGCAAAGATGATAAGAGAGAGGCATCACCAGAATGTTCTATTTGCCTTGATGGATTTTACGATGGAGATGAGCTGATAAGGTTGCGCTGTGGCCACAGGTTCCACTCAACATGCTTGGAGCCATGGGTGCGGAAATGTGCAGACTGCCCATACTGTCGAACAAATATACGGTCACGATCCTGATGGCAAACCCTTAGTTGGAAATAAAGACTATAACCACCATGGAGTTGAACTGTTGTATAATTCGCTGTTGTGGGCATCCCAGTTAATCCGGTGCTCCTATGGCAACATGTCATTTCTAATATCTTGAATATTTTGTGTTATGTGTTGTGTCGCTCAAAGAGGTTTATGGTGTTGTGCGTGAGTGGTGGCTGATAGTACAGCTTAGAAAACACCCCATGACTTTGCTATTTCAGAACCGTATAAAATGATGAGCCAATAATGCAAAGAAATTGAGTAAATTAAAACGCAAGAAGCACTGCTATGATGCAGATAAAATGCTCTACAAAATACTGAGCTGAATGGCTCAATGAGTCGATGTCAGTAGCATCAGCTTTATATTTCTCTCTGAACTGATTTTTAAACCCTTTTTACCGGAATTCTGGAATTCGAAGCATTCGGTCGAACGTCAAAGGCTCAGAGCCAGTCGATCTGTTCACTCCGCCAATGGATAATCCAACGCTAGCAGTTGGTCTCGTCAACACACCGTAGCCTAGCCGGCTCCAGCACAGAGTTACGCGGCCTGAGCTCGATATTGCTCGAGACCAGGCGGGAGCTCACCATTTGCCGAATGCTAGGGGACGATCGTGACTAGTGAGGATGCAGCAACGGGGTTGTATCTCCTGCCGAAGTGCCGATGCTACAGGAACAGGAGAGCTTTGGTGTGCTCCGCCAGCTGACAACCGTGCGCTGGATTTCAGCTGCTGCCGGCTCCGGTGGGTGAAAATTGAAAGATGGGGAAAAAGATTGCAAGAGGCTAAAGAACGAGAACTGGGCGGCCAGAACTGTCGACTGTCGTGCCCGGAGCACCTTTGCTGACGGCAGCGATGGACGCAGTGGACAGGCGGCGACGGCGAGCTTCCTTTTGTGAGTCCACGCAGAAGCTCCCAGTTATGCTACAGAAGCTGCGGGGAATAAGAGCCTTTGCATGATTTCTCATAAACACTCGACCAAAAATGCTTTCCTTCGGAGTTTGGAATATCAAGATTGGTTGGGGCAAATACATTAGCATGCACAGTAAGGTGCTACATTTCTTCACTGAATTTAGCCGTAATGCAGGTTCTACACAATCAACACAAACTGCCACCTTACAACTCCAGCCGATTACTGCCGGGGACTTCAACATTCTCTAATTTCAGTGTACAGGGTACAGAGTACAGACTAGGCTGCCAGGCTCCTCATTGGGTTGTAGGTGTGACAATACAAGCAGATACAGTAAAGTAATTTTCTAGTGCCTTTTACATTCCGATCAGAACCTACCCCCTATGGAGCTCTACAGTTCAGATGGCAACTCCTACAAAAATTCACCACCCTTCCGTGTCAGGCAGTAAAAGCAATAGCATTGATGAATGATACAAGTCTTGCAATTTCGGTTGCTAGCAGCATGATCACCAGCCCACTGCACCAATAATTTATGCTGGGACCATTACAGTACATAGGTGCCAACCAGCCACCACGGAGGATTGAGTTCTCGAGGTGCATCAAGTGTTCAGGGCACCATTCAGAATATCCAAGTATGACAGAAGCAATCTTGATGCAAGGATTGCCCTGAAGATGTCCTTCCAAGGACGAAGCAGACTGCCCCGAACATGTGGCAAGATTGTCCCAACCAGATCACTATACATGCCTTTCAACCTTGATTACCAAAATGTTCTGCCATAGTTGCCACATGTGCATGCCTCAGGATCCAGTCGACCAAAAGTAACTTAACTGCCAGTGAATTTACCATACAAGCTGCTGATCTTGTGAGGCTAGAAATCCAATCCTGAGCCAACAAATATAGTCACCAGATTGTCCTCACTATGCATACAACTGCAAAGCAAAAGAAATGATAAATACATATGCAATGGGAAAAACACAAAGTTGTGCAACAGTTAAGGATAACTGACAAGGTAACAGAAAATGGGTCAGGTCACGATATAAGATACAAATTTGATAACAAAGATTCAATATGGATGTAAGTGCTATGAAAAAGGTAACAAATGTGTGTAAAAAGACAGTAAAAAAGCTACACCGCATGTGTCCGTACTCAGTATATATTGAAAGGACACTATTCAGTATATACAATCACACCAGTGATAAATACTTAGCCAAGAAATATGAAACAAAACACTCCGCAAGATTATTCACCAATGGCTCTAGTTAATTAAGTAATAAACATATTCAGAATGAACAAATTGATAGCACGTGAACAAGAATACAAGATGACTATTGGTATAGGTTACTCAAACATCTACAGATATTTTTTTATTGGGACAGAAACAAAATTTAAAAAAAAACAGACATGGTAAACAGACTTACTGATTACAAGAGCAGCAAGTGCCAAAAGAATCAATTGAATAGGATGCCCATATCGAATCTGATACTGAGATCTTTGAAGTTGTCTATGAAGGGCTCCGAGCCAACCATAAAGCTTCTTATTGTATGTATGCTCATCACAGGAACTTAAGCAACTCTTGTTCCTTTCAAAGCATCCCTCTAAACCCTACAATGAGGAACAGGAATACAAAGGTTAGAGCACTAAGATATAACCAAAGAGAGAGCTACAGAACAAATCATCTTTGCATCATTTGAGTAAGATCCATTTACCTGACTCAACTGAGAAGTACTCAGAGGGATAGCCTCTTCAACATCCTGTTGGTTAACGCCTGCCCACCTAACAGCTCCATTTTTACACTTCGTTCTAGGCTTAGGTTGCACGGTACTCGTCAAAGCACATGTTTTCACTATCTTGAGCAAAGGCATTTTGTCTGAGCCATCAGATAATTGTTCTGTAGTTCCTTCACATTCGTTAGGAATTGACATGCTCCATGAGCCTATATCAGCACTGGCACTAGCTGCTCTTCTGTGCCCACGATGCAAATCTTCCTTTGCTCTTGCTGAAATCAAATCCGTGGAACCAGCTGAATCCTTGGAGCTGTCAGTTGATATATCATTTTTCATCCTTGCTGCATTGCTGCCCACTTCAATATCACCTGCTGAAGGAATTGTGACCACTTTGTCTTTCTGTTGAAAAGGACTGGCAGATAGGAAAGCTGCAAGGTCGTCCCGTTCATCCTCATCCAAATGAACCCAGCTCAACGGCCCCCTCCCCTCTGCAACATTGGATTCTTTCAAGTTTTTCTCGACCTCTAATATTCGATAGCCAATTGCTGTAACAAAGTCATCATGCCTAGCTCTTGTGTCTTTTCCTGCTGAGATAACCAGGTCGTTCGATCTGATTGCCCGCGACAGTTCATCAAGCTGAAAGAAGGACAAACCAAATCACAGAATGAGCTTTTGAATCGAAGATACTAGTAGCATTAATCTTCAAATTGTGCCCTACAATTACAAATATATTTTTTATAAAGTTTGGCCACTGACATAACTGGATGGGTACATTATCCAACCAAGTCCTGTTATCACCTCAATCACATCCACATTTACATGAATGTGGTTGTTTAAACATCATGCTAATATGGCAACTCTTTCTTTTTTAAAAAAGGACGGGGAGCTGCCTACTACATATATTAAAAAAGGAGGACCCGGAGGGAATATGGCAACTCATAACAAGTAGAAGAAATGAATCAAACACCATGCTAAGCTCGATTGTCAGTGATCGTTTAATCAAGAGAAGTTTTTACACATCTGAGTGTCAGGATATACCAATTACGCTATAAAACGCTAACGAATTTAGCAAGGGGACTACAGCAATCGGACCGTGCAATAATATAACCTCGATATGAACGATGAGGGCGACAGATTTACCTGCCACTTGGCGGTGCCAAGCGCCGTGTGCAGCTCGCGGCGAAGCTCCGCAGCTGACGGGCCTCCACTGACGCTTGCCCCCTCCGAATCGCCGCCGCTCCTCTCCTGCACCCATACCCTATACACCAACTCCATCCTGCGTGAACGCAAACAGAAAACCGACAGAGGTGAGCACCAGATCCGCGATCGCAACGGAGCAGAACAAACCTAGGCCAACCCACCAAGAAAATAGGGGAAAAGAAGGGCAACGCACCGATCGGCGGATTCCTGGACCTCCTCGGCGGCGAGGAAGAAGGGGTCCTTCTCCCAGCGGTCGAACGACGTCGCCATAAAGATCTCGCCCGCCTGACGGATCGAAACCGAAAACCTCGACAGAGATCGGATTTAGGATTTGTGCTTTTGCGCCTGGCTTTCCTCTTCTTTCCGCCCGCTTTTGCTCGCCGCTATTTTCTACCTGGTGCTGGTGCTGGGCTGGTGGGGATGGTGGTGGCTGCCTATTATTATTGCGTTACGTTTTGCGGGGGTCGGCCGTCGGCGGGCGCGCGCGCGCGCGTGGGAATGCCGCGCTGGGAACGTGGCTATTCTATTCCTCCACTGCCGTGTGGTGTGGGAATGCCAATGTTTGGCACTATTAGTCCTTGTTTAGATCGTAAGTTTTTACTCTCTTTATGTCACATCAAATTTTTGAACATATATATAGAGTATTAAATGTAGATAAAAAAATAACTAATTACATAGTTTGATTGTATAATAATTGTTAAATACAAACGAGGTCTTTTGAGCCTAGTTAAGCCATGATTGGACAATAATTGTTAAATATAAACAAAAATGCTACAGTGCTGAATACTAATTTCTAACCTCAATCTAAACGAGATCTTAGCGTAGAAACCAACGTAATTTCTATTCCTATTAATTAGCTGGTCATATAGACATTTTGCTGACGTGGCCTTCAATTTAATGGAATTTTTATATATTTACTATCATAGTGATGTGAGTGATATAAAAATATCATATCAGTGACTTATACGTCAGTGATACAATGTAAGATGTCATCCATAACCGTGATAAATATGTAAATGCCCTCAATTTAACGAGGAGAGAAGGGAAAAAACTTAGAAACGACGCGCACCACCGGTGGGAGCTCGCATCGCTGGTGAAACAGAAGCACCTCTCGTGCGCCCGCCGCCGCGGAGCTCGCACGGACGCCAATCCCCGCCGCGACGTTGCACGGACGCGACCTTTCCGCCGTCTGCACCGCGCGGCCCTTGCTCCTCGTCGCCCCCTGCATCCCTTCCCGCGCGCGCCCCGACCCTGCTGAGCGGATGCCGCCGAGCACGAAACCACCAATCCGCGCGGCTGCCGCCGAGCGAACCCCCCCACCCCCCCGCGAGCACGGGAGCTCTGGCCATGGCCCGACGCCGCCTTCCCTGCCATGGCTCGACACCCATCCCGGCGCCGTCGGCTTGCCGGGGCGCGGCACCGCGCTGGCTTGCCGAGCCCGGAGAACTCCGACGCACGCGAAGCTCATCCTCGCTGCCGCCCATGGACGCGACTGACGGGGAGGTCGCTGGCTTCGGCTTCAGCGCTGGTGGACCTCGCGGCGTCGTCTCCTAAGGCCGCCACCTGCGTTGATTGCTTGCTTCAGCGTTGCTCGATTGATTAATCTCATCCGCGGTTTCTTGCTTGATTGCTCAAGGCTTGCGTTGCTTGCTTGCTTGTGAGGACGCAGCTGCCGATGCTGGCTTGGGGCTCGCGGAGCTTGCGCAGGCCGCCGTGGAGGTCACGAGGCTCGCCGCGGAGCTCACGTAGCCTCGCCGTGAAGATGGTCCGCCTCGCCACGAAGCTCGCGCAACCTTGCCGCCGAGCTTGCGCAGGCCGCCGCGGAGGTCGCGAGTCTCGCTGTAGAGCTCGCACAGCCTCACCCGGGGAGCTCGCGAGGCTTGCCGCGGAGCTCAGGCTGGCCGCCTCGCCTCGCCGTGGACCATGCGCACCAGTTTGCCGTTTTCCTTGCTCGTCGTGGAACACACGCACACCGTCCGCATAGGATCCGAAGGGATGGGGGAGTCCAGAGGTCTTCATTTTTTTCTGGACACTTCTAGAAATACTGTATAATTTCTACACTATCCGATAGTTTTTGCATTGGAGTGGCCTTAGCGTCAGATTGCACTACTAAAAGCTGTTGCCATCGAAAATGCGCGTATCTGCTGGTGCTGTTCGAGGTGGAAAGTGGAATTGCTGTCTTTCGCTAGGGAATCTTTATTCATTTATCGGCACGGTAGTCTAACACCACACGATGGTGTTGGTAAACGAAGCCGGGTGGACAGTGGACTGGAGGCTGCTGTCGCCTGCTCGCATAGGAGAGGCTGCCGTGTGTGAGATTGGCGTGGCTGGGGTGGCTCCTCGCGTCGGCTTGCCCCCGCGTTCATTGACGGCTTCAACTATGTCTCTGCTTCAACGTCAGACTGTTGATTCGCGGATATCTTCGAGTAGTTCTTTTATTCGCACTACAACTATGCGAGTTTTTTTTTGTTTTGTTTACAATAGCAATACAATTATACAATTATGCGTCCGGGAAGAATGAGACTAACCTAATGATGATTGACTGGGTGACTGTCAGCATATTGTATGGCTGAATCTGGTGACGGTTCCAGGCATCCATTTTTTCCACTTCTACCAGTACCAGCGATAAAAAAAAAATCATTGGTCATACACATAGCATAGCAAAGTTCGTGTTCACAAAATCTCGCGAGCTCAAACATCAAGGTACTGGTCTAATATAGGAGACAGATATCACCAGGCTGATATGTCAAATGTGACGGCCTGGCACTAACAAGAAACTCCAAGTGTATCTATGTTATTACCAGATTACTCGGAACAAAAGGTGCAAACAGTTTGGCTATTGCAATAGGCTAGCATAACGGCTGCTCTACCAAACTTACTGACACAGCTGACATTTTCTGCAATCACCCCACCAAGAACACTGAAACACCTTGTCTGGTAGCTTGGCTCACATCTTCAGTTCCGTCGTCCACGTCCCCTGAACACCGGGTCGTTTCGTTACGTGTCTTGTTCGCAGTTTCACCACTTTCCTGCCCAGGGAGTTCCTTAGCCTCGTGGCTTGCAGGAGTATTTCTTCTGGCGGTAAATTTCTCACACAGACCACTCGCTCGTTATGGTTTTCTGCACAACAACAAGGCTAGTTAGAAAATTGAGAAAATACAAAATCAGCGTAGCTGAGGAAATTACAAAGATAAGACAACAAGAAAACAGCAGCCATAGGACAGCTGCATTCGAGGAATTGTACTATCCAATCCCATAGTAATTTTTTCACTAGTGGAAAATACCTATCCTATCCTACAGGATCTTGCTTGCGTAGTGCATGCAATATTGTAATGGCCCCATATATAGGATCAAATTGACAATAGAAGAATCTGTATCAATCCACAGAATTGTTGGTTTGACGCCCCTCTTATCCCACAAAAATTGCCACCCGATCCTATTCTGTCCAATCCAAGATGGGCGTAACCATCTATCCTCCCAACGTTGATGAGGATCATCAAATGTGCATAATTCTAATGGAGGTTTTATCTTGACCGTGATAAATTTAAACTAAGATACGTTCACCTTCAGGCGTGTTATTCCGAACAGGTATTCAAGCTTGTGCCGATAGAACAGAGAAAAACAGGGCAAATAAGAATTCAAGGAGGGTTGCTATCACAACCTGGACACATAGATGATAGACGGAAACAGGAAGATGGAAGTTCAAGTTCAAATTCATATGGTGAGATTCAAGGTTGATTTCCATTTCTTTTTTATTTCCCTTTACTTCTTTCTTTCTTATCCTGTCATGAGGTTTTCCTTTCTTCTTACTTTCTCCTCTCTCTAACTTTCCTTAATTAAAACATTCTTTTACTCCTCATCCTTCTTTGTGCTTGCCTGTTGCACTTATTTTGCCACTTCGGTTTATACATGTACAGCTCTCTTCTTTCATTAATGAAATTAAGGCAGGGGCCTCCCCTCCTGACTTCCACTCTTCCAGAGAGAGGGAGAGAAGAGGAAGACCCAGAAATGGCCATGCTGTGCAATTTTCAACTGAACATGGTAGGTTAAGCTACATTGTATTCCTATAGCGTCTTCTCAATGCCAATCCATACCATAAGTTGTATCCCTATCAGGAATAAATTGCAATGGAAAAGAAAAGTAACCAGGATCTTACTGTAAATTCCCTTCAAGTTAGGATGTTGACCGCGGACAACCTCTGCCACCACTTCTAAGTGTGGATTCTTTTCCTTAAAGGCTGGAAGATGTGCCTCCATGAAGGCCCTGCAATCAGAAAAGGTGCTAGTTGTTAAAGAGCAGATCCAGTAATGAATAGTACTAACCAGCACCATGTTTGATCTGAAGCCCAGACAGCTGCCACTAAACTATAGTGTACTGCTGTACAAGGAAAGCACTATAGCTCGAGCTAAAATCTGATGAACGAACACAAGCACAGGCATAGAGTGCCTGATTCTATTGTTGCAACAAATAGCATGTAATTGCACTAAATTGTGACTAAATGGGCGGCGGTGGCTCTTTTAGCTCATTCACAGACATCAGTACCGCTAGTCACACAGCATATTTCTGTCTAGAAATGAAATTTCAATGCAGTAATGCCCTAGAAAAGCTAAAGAGGCAACAGGATAGTTGTCTTCAGTTCCAACTAGCAAATTGTAACTACATACACACCACACTCATCTGCAACGACAAATCCATGGCTGGACACAGTCGACCAACCATCCGATCAATTCCAGCATTGAAGAACATGTACCAGCAGGATCTCGACTAATTTTCGCAACAGAACTAAGTAAATCATACGAAAACACTATGGTATAATGGTACTACTACCGAAGTGAGGAACAAACTATTTCATCATACCTGATGCCCCTGCTGCTCCCTCCCCAATCACAGTAATTTACCACGAGCTTCTGCAGCTGCCAGACCCCCCTCAGCGCCATCCTGCCGCAGGGGCGATCACAATAAAGCACATAAGCGTACACATGTACAACCGATAAAAAAATCGAAGTAAGCATGATTCGTATATATTTGTTTCAAAAAAAAGCATGATTCATATATACACTTGTGATTATATCAGATCCGAATACAGATAGCCAAATAGATTAAGTTAGGGTTCAGGTGCTCAGTTTTGCAAAGTAGGAAGGAAGGAGAAGGGGCGGGCATACCTTATGCGGTCGGTGCTCGCCGCCGGCGAAGGGCCCGACGAAGACCTGGACAGCTGGGTATAGGGCGGCGGCGGTCGCGCTAGCTGTCGCGCACGCGAGGTGAACGCAGGAGAGCAATATTCTTCCGGGCCTGTTTACAGCTATCTTCTTCGCGCGCGCTAATGGGCCGACCTCACCTTTGTTTTTTCTTTTTCTGAGTACACGAGAATGACTACGCTGGTTCGTTAGGGAGAGCGGCCCATGAAACTGGTTCATTCTTTCTCCCTTTCCTTTTTATTTTTTCCTTTCTTTTTCCATGACACTTGGTTCTTCTCTTTTTCTTTTGCTTCTAATTGTTTTTATCCTTATAACTCTTGTCATTAATAATCATCTCTTTTCAGATCCACTAGTGAAGCTTTTCCCTATTTGCCACTAGACTAGGAGTAAAATATGTTATTAGCCTTTTTAAATTTGTGTTCTAATCCATTTTTATATTCCTTTTGTTTCACATGAATATGTCATTAGAATTTTCTACAAAATCTGCAGAATTTTTTCTTGTGGTTTTAGATTTTTTTTATGTTGGAACAAGTTTTCTTGTGGTGCCATAATAATTTTTTCCTAAACGTACATGAAACATTTTGGTCATGAAGTAGGAACATTATAAAGCTACAGCATTTTCCTAGTGAATCTATAAAATTTTATTCACAAGCTAGAACATGCTTTTGCCTTAAAGAAGGAATATTTTTCTTCTTAAGTTGGAGCATTTTTCTTGAAGCTAGCACATTTTCATGTGAAAGGTAGCACATTTTTCTAATTTTGTTTTAAGATAGAAACACCAGAAAATATATTAATTAATATAAATACTACTCCCTCCATTGCAAATTATAAAACACTTTAGCTTTCCAGATATATAGGTTTTGCTATGCACTTAGATACACACTATCGAAACAACTTATTATGTGTCGAACATAATAAAAATGATGTATCTAGAAAAACCAAACCGTCTTATAATTTGGAATGGAGTAAAAGCCTTAGAATTTGTCATTTTAAAAATCCTGTTTTGGGATTGATTTTTGGAACTATTGAAACAACGAAAAAAAGGACTACACACATGTGAACTATTGAAACCGCATGCTCTGTGTTGAATCCAAATGGTAGCTTCGTTGTTGATCAAGTACAGTGAGCTAAGTGGGCTGTTGGAGTGGCACCCTTGTTAGCGAGCCTAGATTCAGAGCATGTATACAACAATAGGATGTTTCGTGGAGAAATGAAAAGGAGAAGATGCTTAGCGAAAAAATAGTTTTTTTCCCGCTATACTATACCAGCACCTGGTGCTTAGAGGTGGATAAGATACTTAAATTTAAACGGGGTGATTTGTGTGTGCTAACAAGATAGTTTTGAGCCTACCTAAATACCAATCTATATTATAGTGATTAACTTCTATGCCGATGCTTGATGATATGATAATATTCTCTCTTCTTTAAGTACCAGTGTCTAAGTACCTTGCATTGTACATATCCTAATGCATCTTATAAAACAAAAACAGAGTGACTGAGTGAGATCGATTGGTTCACCGATGCTAGCATATTTGTCCAATTGTCCTGTGGAATAATTTCAAGAACAGGATGGGATAAGAAAAGTCTTTTGATAACACCGTATTGCCATTTCTGTAAAATGGATGAATTCGCCTGTTAGCATGGATAATTTTTTTTTTCTGTTCTGTGTACTAGTTCAACCTATACTCTGTGTGGACGAAGAATTTTAATAGAAATAACTGCCAGAGATTCAAGACTAAATTTAGACCCCACGACTAATCATTTGCTTATCTTTGCTCTTTCTATTTTTGTGAAACACAGGCGATAACCCATGCAAAATATAGGGCTTGAATCCTAGCGGATAGGTTTCATCATAAGGATCCAACCAAACGTTTGTTTGGTTCTTTTTTGCTGCAATAAATTATTCATATAGATACTTTCTTATCTTTGTGCTGCTACGATAGGTTTCAGTAACCAATTAGTCTATATATTTTTTCTCCGTATTCGAAGTTTTTTGCTTTACATCATATCTCCACTTGTGTTCGACATGTGTTTAGGTAAAACCTTAGGTCTTATTTATCTGCACTCGTATCTACCCCAGTCCACATGTGTTTCCATATGCGGATTGATGTAAATATGTGTACAGCCAAACAAAACCCTTAAGGATCTATATGTGTTGACATCAAATAGATACATGTGTATGTGGTGTGAATTATGTTACACGTCACGTGTATATACCATATCTGGGATTAATAATAACAAAAGAGAAAATTTAGAAGTATATATAGAAGCACTCCGTCTAATGATAGACAGAGATAATTTAGACACAATTTTTTAATAATAGTGGGTGCGGGTACTTTATTCATAAATTTAGGGGTTACTTTATATTACTTTTATAATGACGCAGATTGGTGTTCCTTTAGTTTATCTGTAATAATGATGGATGTAGCTAATTTATATGCAGATTTAGAGGTTGCTTTAAATTATTTTTTATAATAGCAAATTAGGTGAAGATCAGGAGTTAATCGAAGTTATTTTTCATTAATGCAAAGTGGGTAGTTTAGATATAGATTTAGGAGTTACTTTATAGTATTTTTTTTGAAAAATAGAATCTATATCCATGATAAGAGTCTACCATATTGATGTCCAAATGATAAGACTCTTGTGAGAATTGAGATGGAGGCTTAAAAGAAGTTTTAATAATTAGTAACAGTGTGATTCGGTCTAAGAAAATACAAACTTTTAAACTTCGGTCAAAAGGCAGAATCTCATAACACAAGCTTAGCTTCTGCCGGTGTTTTCCTTTCCGGTGCTAAGCAGACCGACGGTAGCTGAAAAAATCTGAACATGGTCTAGCCCGACATGCTTTGGCAGTGTGAATGGCGAGTGTGTCCTCTCGAAAGCAGAGAACAAAAGATATGCACGAGTCTGAATCCTATATGTCCACAGCATCCATATCCTACACCTGGAGGCCACATCTGTGTCAGGTACTCAGGTGAGATACGCGCCATTGTCCTTGAAAGTCAAAGGGAGGCGATTCAGATACGCGCCTGAAACGCCCAAAGCAGCGTCGGAACCGTGGCCCCTTTTTCCAACGGCACCACAGATCGGGGCCGGGGTCGCCCCCGTTCAGATGGGCATTTGCATGCATGCCGAAGCGGCGAACAGAAGAAAAGAGTGTAAAGGCAGGCACGACCCAGAAAAACGCGTCTTCCAGCCACCCGTCCGTCCCGTCGTGCCGTGCTCCCGCGGTCCACCGGTGAGCACGCGCCGAATCGGCCGCTGCCGCCTGCCTATACACGACCGTCACGCACCGAGCAGCAAGCACTTCTTCCACTCGCACACCACACCCCGACAAAGCGCGCCAGAGCAGCCTCCGCAAAACCCCCGCGTCCGCGTCTCTCTCTCTATCGATCGCCGGGGTGGGCAGCAGCGACGCGCGCACACAAGTGAAGGGAAGTGAATCAGTGGTTGGGGGTTCTCGTCCTGGCTATGAGAGGTTTAAGGCGGTGGCTGCCATTCTGCGGCGGCGGCGGCGGCTGCTGCTGCGGTGAAGGCGCCGGCAGGGGAGGGGGCGTGACGGACGGACTGGTGTGGGACGTGGCCCTCAAGGCGCACGCGTCCGGTGACTACTCCATCGCCGTGGCGCAGGCGAACGAGTCGCTCGAGGACCAGGCGCAGGTGCTCGCGGCCCCGGCCGCCACGCTCGTCGGCGTCTTCGACGGGCACGGCGGGCCCGAGGCCGCGCGGTTCGTCAACAGGCGCCTCTTCTCCCATATCCAAGGTGAGCTCGATCGATCACTGCTGGAGATGATCTCGATATGCATGTTGTACTACTGCACCTGTTTTTCTGACTGACATGTCGACACCCTGCGCAGGCTTTGCGGCTGAGAACGGGGGCCTGTCGGCGGAGGTGCTCCAGAAGGCATTCGGCGCGACGGAGGAGGAGTTCATAGGCCTGGTGCAGAAGTCGTGGCCGTCGCAGCCGAGGATCGTGTCCGTGGGCTCCTGCTGCCTGGTGGGCGCCATCGAGGGCGGGACGCTGTACGTGGCCAACCTCGGCGACTCGCGCGCCGTGCTGGGCCGCGGCGGCGGCAAAGGGAACAAGCGGGTGGTGGCGGAGCGGCTGTCGCAGGACCACAACGTCGCCGACGAGGACGTGCGGCGCGAGGTGGCCGAGATGCACCCGGACGAGCCGCACATCGTGCTCAACAGCCACGGTGTGTGGCGGATCAAGGGGATCATCCAGGTGTCGCGGTCCATCGGCGACGTGTACCTCAAGAAGCCCGACATCTGCAGGAACAACCCGGCGCTGCAGCAGTCCCTCTGCCCATTCCCGCTGCGCCGCCCCGTGATGAGCGCCGTGCCGTCCATCACCACGCGGGAGCTGCGCCCCGGCGACCGGTTCCTCATCTTCGCGTCGGACGGGCTGTGGGAGCAGCTCAGCGACGAGGCCGCGGTGGGCGTCGTGGCGGCCAGCCCGAGGAAGGGCGTGGCCATGCGCCTGGTGCGGGCCGCCCAGCTGGAGGCGGCGCGGAAGAAGGAGGTCAAGTACGACAAGATCCGGACCATCGAGAAGGGCCAGCGCCGGCACTTCCACGACGACATCACCGTCGTCGTGCTCTTCCTCGACAAGTGCAGGGGCGCCGCCAGGTCCGGCCCCGAGGACATCGACGGTACCTATGCGCCGCTGGACGTGTTCTCCTACAGCCCCGCCGGCGATCACGAGGACCCGACCAAGCCCGTCCTGCGTCGTTGATACGGATCATCGCTTGGTGTTCCGCGTGCTGTCAGAGACTGAACAAACATACTCTTCTTTCCAGTGTTCTTCCATTGCTTTGCTTCGCTCTCTAAACGAGAGAGGTGTACATATGAACCATGCTTGAGTTGTTTCGTTTGGAATGCAGGAATCTTTGCCGATTCTTGGATGAATTGAGTTCTTTCCCGTTCAAGGACAATTCGCTTGTAAAGAAATACTAGTGTCAGGTCATGTGTCATAGATTGTAAATCTTCACCCATCTCTTCTCACTCTTTTTTTTCAAAAAAAAAGAAGAAAATTTATTGCCTCCAACAGTTCTAGCCACTATCTGCTTTTATGCTGATGCTTATGCTAAAATGTTGTGAGAGAAAAGCATAATTCTATAGCTGAAAAGTAGCTCAAGCGAACAGGGTGAACGTTATGTTCTTCATAGCTGTCATCAGTGTTAACCAAAGGAGAAGATGAATATACTCATCAGCACTTGCTGGTTAGCAGCCGGCCGCCGGCGACCTCCTTCCAGCGACTGAACTGCATGTGAGGCAGGGCCGGTCGTCACTCGTCAGCGGTCATGGTCTCGGCGACGGTCTGCTTTGGAATATGGCGATGTGGAAAGACAGCCACAATCGTGGATCGGTTCAACCAGCAATATAATTCTTGACCTCTGAGTCAAAAAGAGTGATGGCATCGATGCCCGGATGTCCAGGATCACGAGAAATGGTGGACGATCTAATCATGGAGTTTTCTTAATATAAAAAATCTGCCGGCAGAATTGTGCCTAGCTTGTATTGATAAAGAGGGGATATAAAAAAAAAGATATTTATAGTCAAAATAGCAATTGGGGAAAACTTAAGAAATGATGTCGCTCAACAACACTGTTGTAATGCTGCTCGGTGGGTGCTCTTGTCTCGCTGGTGACTCTTTTTTTTTTTTGGGAAATACTTCGCTTCATTGATTAAGTAGAAACATTACAATCAAGTTGCAGGCATTGCTGCAGGAAGCTAGGATCACTAAGCCAAACAAAGTTCTGCTTACAATCAAGAGCTTGCTTAGCGCAAAGAGGAGCTGCAAAATTCGCTACTCTTTTTGTGAAGACAACTCTAAAACTAGTGAAAGTTGAGGCTAACGCCGCAACTTCATCCATGATCACTCCAACTTCGGATTGATGCTTGTCCCTGTCGCGCCAGAGGGAAATTAGAACCAGTGAATCAGTCTCCATGATGATGTGCTCTCTCGTTCCGACCGGAATCAGCCGGACACCATCACGTAACGCCTCGGCCTCCGCCAGCAAGGCCGAGCCCACCAAGTGCATCCATCATGCCGAGGCCATGCGTAGATTGCCGTTGCTGTCCCGTAACACTGCCCCCGTTGCGCCTGATTCAGCACCCGGGAGGAAGGCCCCATCTGTATCAACCTTCAAAGTTCCGCGATCCAGTGGTTGCCATTTTACCGCTTGCTCCGCGTTGATCTTCCCTGAAGGGCACACTTCTACAAGCTGAAAACAGGCCTCCATTGCCCAGTCTATTGCCGATCGTGGATCAATCGGCGTCTTCCCATGTTTCCGGTCGTTCCTGCTATTCCATAGCGACCACATCCCACATAGAATTACTCCTCTATCTTCCTCCTTGCAGTGTGAATTCTCCGGCAAGTCTCTCGTCCAAGACCGAGGACATAAACGAGGAAGTTTAATCCCTATAAGTCGTCTCAGTCTGTCCCAAAATGAGGGCAAAAGAACACTTCATCAAGGCATGAAAGGTGGTCTCATCCTCCGCTCCATAGAAAATGCAGGTCCCTGCTTGTTCAATATGTCGTCGATGGAGGTCCTCACGGCACGGGATAAAATCATGAGAGACCCGTCAGGGTTCTGGCTGATCATGATGGCGTAGTCCCCGGACGCCCTGGCAAAGACACGGTCACCAACGTGGTGCTCGACATTGCAGACGATGGTACCCTTAGGGATCCTGCGGAGCGGTAGAACGTTGTCGATGGAGAGCGTGGCGCGGCGGCCGCAGTAGACGAACTGGCCGATGCCGTCGGACAGCCACAGTAGTATTTAGAGTAGAAGTGGTCAGCAAATGTAACCGTTTAAGTTGTGGGGGAGCCCCCGTGTGAACAATTTTTTGTATTCATAAATACATCAGTCCCTTTTCGTGATGAAATCACTTTGTAACGGGAAGCTTGTCCCATCCGTTTCCTGGCAATGCTCGTGCCATTTGGACGATTCAGGCTACCTGTTGAAACAAGAATTTCCTACGGATATAAAGGATGCGGACATCCGCGCAAGAATTTAGTTAAGTGGGGAAGCCAGGCGGCAAAACTTGTAACAAATGGACAAGCTTTTAAATTTTGTTACAGCAAACAACTTCTTATTTCTTCTCCCCTTTTTGTGTAAAAAGGTTTAGCGCATCCCGACCCTTTCCATGGTTAAGGTTGCAAAAGCTCGAAGTGCGGGCGAGCCAATTCTGATCACGCTGGTGAGCAAAGAGACCGTAGCCGTCGGGGCGTGGGTTTTCCGCAGTCCTACCAGTCATACTCAGGAATTGTTCCCATAAATCAAGCTCCTAGGAATTAACATAAAAAAGGAGGGCATGCGCAGAGAATATTTGTCGGATAAATGAGCCCACATCAGCCCCTGAGTGAGGTCCGACCCTTTACCGTTTGCAGGGGTCGGATGTCACGAAAGATCGAGGATTTTGATAACAAAACTAATAAGAGAACGTATGTGTTTATTTAGGGGTAAAAGCGACGTAGCTATTCGATGTTCTAGGCATTGGTGAAGATCTCGCCGTCGATGGTTTTGAGCTTGTAGGCGCTTGGATGAAGCACCTCTGCAACCACGTATGGTCCCTCCCATGGCGAGGAGAGCTTGTGGGGATCGTTGTTGCTTTGGACGAGGCGAAGGACTAGGTCCCCGACGTCGAAGGCCCGACCCCGCACTCGTCGGCTGTGGTATCGTCGCAACGTCTGCTGGTACTTGGCTGAGCGGAGGAGGGCAACGTTGCGGGCTTCGTCTAGCTGATCCATGGCATCTTCGAGAGACGTCTTGGCTCCCTGTTCGTCATATGCCCTGATCTTTAGTGCTCCATAGTCAAGGTCGGTTGGGAGGACAACCTCAGAACCATTGACCATGAAGAAGGGTGTGTAGCCGATGGCTCGACTAGGAGTTGTCCTTAGGCTCCAAAGTACCACGGGGAGCTCGACGACCCATCGTGCACCAAATTTGTTCAACCGGTTGAAGATCCTGGGCTTAAGGCCCTGTAGGACCATGCCATTTGCGCGCTTGACCTGCCCATTCGTTCGGGGGTGCACGACGGCAGCCCAATCGACCCGGATGTGGTATTCATCGCAGAATTGAAGGAACTTCTTTCTAGTGAATTGCGTACCGTTGTCCGTGATGATGGAGTTTGGGACTCCAAAGTGATGGACGATGTCGAGAAAGAATAGTACGGCTTGCTCGGACTTGATCACGGAGATCAGCCGAGCTTCTATCCATTTTGTGAACTTGTCTATGGTGACAAGCAAGTGGGTGTAGCCTCCAGGCGCCTTCTTGAGAGGTCCAACTAGATCGAGCCCCCAGACCACGAACGGCCACGTAATGGGGATCATTTGGAGTGATTGGGCTAGGAGGCGAGTTTGCCGAGCATAGTACTGACACCCTTTGTAGGTGCGTACGATCTGCTCGGCGTCGGCTACTGCAGTGGGCCAGTAGAAGCCCTGTTGGAATGCATTTTCGATCAGGGTTCTAGGTGCGGCATGGTGACCGTAGACCCCCCCATGGATATCGCTCAGCAAGCGCTTCCCCTGCTCAATGGGGATGCAGCGTTGTAGGATCCCAATGTGGTTTTGTTTGTAGAGTTCGCCCTCCACAAGGACGAAGGACTTGGCACGGCGTGCGAGCCGTCGAGCCTCCGCCTTGTCCGTCGATGGTGTGTCATGGAGTAGATAGTTGAGGTAGAGCGTTCTCCGATCGACTAGAGGGTCGGGCTCTGTTACTGGATCTTGTTCAAGCTCCATGACCTCGAGCCAGACAGAGTTGTGGGTTGATCGGCCCCCGAGCCCGGATCAAGTGGACTATCATCGGCCTGTTCCGACCCCTCATAGCGAACCAAGGGCTTGTGTTGGTTGCTGGCGAAGACCTCTGTTGGCACCGGCTCTCGGCTGAATGTCACTTTCGTAAACGCGTCGGCTGCCTCGTTGAGGCGCCTCAGGATGTGACTAAGCTCGAGGCCATCGAACTTATCTTCCAACCATCGGACTTCTTGGTAGTACGCAACCATTTTGGCGTCGTGGTAGCTTGACTCCTTCATGACTTGGTTGACGACCAACTAGGAATCTCCTCGAACGTCGAGGCATCGGATGCCCAACTCGATGGCGATGCGTAGGCCATTGATGAGTGCCTCATACTCGGACACATTATTGGAGGAGGGAAAGTGGAGGCGAATCATGTACCTCATGTGTACCCCTAGGGGCGACACAAAGACTAGCCCCGTGCCGGCACCCTTCTTTATTAGCGATCTATCAAAGTACATCATCTAGTACTCTTGATCGACGACCGCTGGGGGCATTTGAACCTCGGTCCATTCTGCGACGAAGTTCGCCAACACCTGGGACTTGATCGCTGTTCGGGAGGCATACGTAATGCCCTGATCCATCAACTCGAGTGCCCATTTTGTGGTTCTTCCCATGGCATCCTGGCTTTGGACGACCTCGCCGAGCGAGAAAGACGTCATGACTGTCACCGGGTGTGACTCGAAATAATGACATAGCTTCCTCTTGGTTATGAGGACGGCGTACAAGAGCTTCTGGATTTGGGGGTAGCGGGTTTTAGAGTTGGATAATACCTCACTGATGAAGTACATAGGGCGCTGCACTTTGAGGGCGTGCCCCTCTACTTCTCGCTCCACTACCAGGGCGGCGCTGACCACTTGCATGGTGGTCGCTATATACAACAGAAGGGGTTCTCCACTGGTAGAAGGAACCAAGATCGGGGCCTTCATCAGAAG